TGGAGAGGAGAGCTCAGAAAGAAAATGAAGTTATCATAAAGTCGGAATAATTTTCTTGTCAGGCTGGACTGTTTCGTAAAAAGGTGGTTCTTCGCGTGAATTGCTACATATCGTGAAAAGATCAGCCTGCCTTCAGCAAAACTTCAGGTAGATTTCTACCTGAAGGACGATTTCTCGCTTCGTTGCAACGGAGTGTGGTAGCCTTGTCAAAAATTGAGCAAGTCCAGGTCATGGCAAGAGGAGGTAGATTTCCGCTCATTTCACAACTTCGAACCACAAGCGCGCGCGTGGCGTATCTCATAGCAGGTCCTGTTTGTGCCAACCGCTTCAAACTCCACTCATTGCGTGCGGAGAGGTGATATGAGACGAATTTCGGTGTATTAGGACTAAACAACGCTACTTAACGGAGTGCTGTGCTATGGAAGAATCAACTTCTCAAAGCTGAGAATGAAAGATAGAGAAGAACCAGATTCCTATGAAAGCTTCTTCAAAAGAATTCTGGAGCACAGCAGAAAGTGAAAATCCTGTAACTCTCGAATATGTTTACGATCCTCCACGACAAGCTTCCCGAATGAAACTGTGATCATTGAAAACCCGAAAGATCCCCGAAAACAGATAGAACGGAGAGAGCCATAAAGATACTCCAGCACATGCTCAAGGAACGAGCTCCGTCATGATACAGGATGTTCCATAAATATTGCAGGGCCATTAAGATACTCCAGCATATGCTCAAAGTACGAGCTCCGTCGTTGCATAATACAGGGTGTCCCATAAATATTGATTTTGAACTCAAATTCTGTAGGAGTTTATAGCTTTTCTTGCGAGGCTGACAGACCTTCCAATCCCTTTTCCTCCTCTCAAGGACCGTGCCAAATTCCACGGCTTAGCTTTCGATCTTCATCTCATGGTGCGTCTAAACTTCAGGAGAGTGCCTAACCTTTCACATAGGTGGTGAGCATCGCGGTTCTTTGGATTTTCAACCGCTCCGTGGCCTACCACGTATTGACGAAAAGCCCAATTAAAATAGACTTTGATGTGGCCGCCCAACCTGTTCTGAGATCTTGGAAAAGCGTGAAGAAGCAAAACGACTGCAATACCCGGGTTGGCTCGGAAACGGTGACCAGAATACTGGAGTTTCTCGAAACAGCCATGTGTAGGGTGGTCGGATAACGACTACTCACAGTCCATGACAAGTTGCTCAATCACCACTGCTCAATCCAACGGGAGGAGCACAGCAGAGACAAGAAATTCAAAGGGCTGGTGGTGAGGGCAGAAAATGGGGATTATGCGGGCACCGTTCACCTCGACGACAAAACTTCTCCCATGGAGCGGAGCCACGATCTTCAAACTTCAAGGATGCAAGCGAGGGACCTTGTGGAAGTCGGTCAAAGTGGGAGGAATATTCGCCACAAGCAGTAGCCGAGCCTTTTTATGGTCTGGACAGGGGTATCAACTAGCGGTCACTCACTGCTTGTTTATAAAGGAACACAGCTTGATACTAGATCGAGCCAAGGGATATCTCGGTGCACCCTTTGTTACTGAGGTATCTAGCCACTTTTAGGAGGCGTGATGACCTTTTCAATGGCCCCAGCTTCTGCATCGGAGGCAAAAATTGTTCTGGAGCGCTGTTGAGGCACTCTTTCCAATTTCACATCCTCAAACGAATGGCTCTCCTATCCGTTGATTTCTGATTTCAACGGGCTGGACCATCCCAAATGGGCTATGTTATAGCGCAAAGCCTCCGCTTGATACTGCATCCACATAGGTGAACCTAAGCATTTCCTCAGCAAAGTTTCAAAAAGGACACCCCAAGATGCCATGCGGGCCACAGTAGGGCTGCGTTCGAAGAAATTGGGAGCCATACTCACAACAATATGTACGGAAGCATATCCAATAAATAACATCTCTTTCAATATGTAAATGTACTGCTAAAATTTTTACAAAACCGCTTGAAATACTTTCATTCTGAAGGAAGCTACAAGAAGAGAAAAGTGGTGCAATATTTATGGGACACCCTGTAGATTGAGGTTGACTGAGACTGTGGCTTTGATGAATTTAGTGATTTCAGATAATGAGGCAGTCTGGGGCTATAACGGCCTTGGTGACGGAAGCCCAATCAAGTGAGTGTGGTCCACAAATCGTTTTCTTAGTGGTCGATGAGCAATTTATCCTGTAGTTCCGCAGTAACCTAGGTGTAAGTGTGAACTCAAAGAAGTTACGTCCTCTTCAACTTTTTTACTTGCCAGGCAGTTCCTCTCACCGCCTGGGTAGTACCTTCGCGTTCCTAGGCTAATGCCGCAACGCAGCCGCGCCCTAAAAGAATTCGGAGTTTCCTTACATAACTCGACAAGACAGATAACAAAGGGCGGATTCACTGTTACCGTAATCCGTGTTAGCATTGGTGCGCGCTGCAGCAAGCATTGGCGCGCTTTTTAGGCGACGTAAGGTTAGCACGAAGAGCCAAAAGATTGGGAAAGTCACAAAGCGGTGGAATAAAGAGTAGACAAAGGAGCACAAAATAGAGCAGAGTAGGCAGTTCTGAGAGAGGACTGAAGACGCCTCGCATGACTCATAGTTCACAAAAATCTGGTTTTGAGCTTTATTTTGAATGTAACGTCATGTCTCCTGAAATCACGGTCGCAAATTTTCAAAAAAGTGCGAATATGACGGTTGACCATGATTGATATCCATATTGGTGTGGAGCATTGAGATGCACTCCAACTGCTGCTGCCGTTCCTTCTGATGTACCACGCGATGTCCCCAACAATTATAAAATAGACCTTTAAAGGCAAAGTTCGGGTTTAGTGGACCAAAGCAACGCTTTCGGTCATGTCTGTACTTGGTACGCACCCGTACAGATGTTCCCACGCCCAAAATCGCAAACGGCGCGGTAATAAGGCCCCAGGGCGTGTACTATGCACTACGGCCGCCTGGCCCGCTACGACCGCTCACCTTGGGATGTGGTGCGTTGCTGAGATAGGGCGGGACCCGCACCACACATCAGCTGACTAAGGTGTATTGATTCCCCTATCAATTGGTGGCATCATGCCACCAATTGATAGGGGAATCAATACACCTTGAATACATCAATACACCTGAATGTCCGGAAAGCTCGTCCGGACATTGCCCTCTGCTAACCCCGCCTTCTTCGCTGCTGTTGGAGAGGGGGGGATCCTATTAGAGAATTCTCTGAAGTTGTCTTTCCGTTTTTTCTTCAGCGTTTCGTTCCACTGCGCACCTCTGAACTCAGTTCATGCGCTATAATACCCAAATAATCGAGCCGGATTTTTGCACTTGAATTCGCCAACAAGGCTGAACCTAGGTAGTTCATATATATCATTCACTTCTGCACGAAAACGATGAGCTCTTTCCGCGTTATACTCAATCCTCTGCAGCGCAAGTATGTCCGTCCTATTCCAATTTAAAGTCGCAGTCCACCGCTTGTGTTCTCAGGACATGCGTCTTTTGATTTTTTGCTTCGCATTCGGTTAGGATGTATGTCTGAAGCCGCAATCTTTATGCATTTTGGTGAACAGGGGCTTGCGCATTGTTCCGCAATGAGCTTACACGCGGTCAAAGGAGACTGCCTGCTACGTCAGCTACAAATTGCTCAAAATGAATGGCGCTGCTGCCTACTCGCCAGAAACCAAGTACTTGAATTAAGCACGGCGCACAGGAGTGAGAAGAAACCATGAAAAGAGTGACCTAATAACTCGAGAAATGGGACCCCTTTCTTTTGCCGTTGGATTCCTACTGATACGAGCTCATTCGTCGCCGCCCTCTTCAAAGCTGACGCCTCTCTCTGCCTATTAATCATTCTGCTCCGATGACTGCGCGCGAGTGACACGTGATCAGAAGATAGTTCGAAGATGGGCGTTCATCCGTGTCGATTGCGCCGAAGGCAAAGCGTGTTATAATCGCCGGGGCATATCTTTCTATGCGGAGTGGTTTGTGGTTTGGGTTACTACCTTGAGCGGGTTCGCCTTGTCTCCCATTAGGGAATTTCTCCTTTTCGGATCCTGTTCGTAGGAAATAGCTCTCTAATCATTTCGTTTTGTTCCTGATTGGGTTGATTGACAAAAAGTGTGAAAATGCTGAATAATTTCATCAACATATACTATTCAGTCAGTGCGGTGACAGCCCATTCCAACTCTGTGCTGCTCTCAGAACAGTTCAGGTGGCGAGTGATTTGCGGCCCAGCTCGATGAAAGGCTTGGCTAGGCCTTGGCCAAGATCCATGCCCTGAGCTCTAGTCCATGTAGTGCCATGCACCTGACATAAGAAACGCTTGCTTGCCTACACCCCCTCTGTCCCGCCAATATCCCAGATATTCCAGAGATTCCCTCTCAGTATTGATATGAGCCACACTAAGAAGTGCATATGTCTTACCAGTTCACTCACTGCAAATAGAGTCGCTGTGACCAGAGAAGAGCTATCAGTTATCAAATGGGTAAGCTGTACATGGGAGAAACGTGTAGTGAATCTGGGGTCCTATCAGCCAATTCAGATGTTTGTGTGTAGGCGGAGAGAGGAAGTGTGAGATCAGCCAATGCTACCGGGGTGTTCACCCCTCGCGATTTTGTTTCTAACAATGGCAGATATTCACAGCAGCAAGTTTAACTTCTTCCAGTCACTTCTCGATGAGCGAGCGATCGCCGTGTTTGGAAGGAGTTCTTCTGAGCGGTTTGCGGACGTTCATGGCTTAGCCACCAGTAGGTTGGAGGAGAGGGTCTTAGTAGTGCCTGGTGGCAAAGATTTCACCAGTACCTGTCTGGGTGTCGGCGAGTTGCGGGTGCGTGGAAGACAATATTGTGAGGCTCTGTAACGTAATCGCACGTGGCGGACCAGCATAGTCGTGCCGACACTTCTCAGGAGGTATATCATTGTTGCTTAAATTGAGCTGAGAGGTAAAGGAGTGATGGTATTATGAGGTACTTATCTTATCGATAGCGCTAGATGTAAGGAAGGGGAAACGGGTCGCGGTGAAAGATAGTGGTTGCGATCTGGGCTCGTCATCGGTAGCGTGCAGTGGTCAATGGTGACAATGTGCCCGGGTGGGAGCATTCTCAGATGGTGCGTGATTGTGCGTCAATATGTGTTGTGATGGAAGGTGGCTTGCCATCAGGTCGTGAGGTCTGCCGCCACACTGTTTCGTTGGGGTGGAAACCGAGGATTGGCTCATTAGGCAATGTCTGTTGATGCGCGGGTGAGGGGCGCAGACGCGCGGTGTGACTTGGGTGTAGATCTGGGGGAGTTGACCACTTTTGTGTATTGGTGTTTGGTCCTGTTCGCTCATTTTAAAGTCGACATATTCAACATATTAGCAGTTCAGCACGACATTTCTGTACGTCTAACAGACATTGCTCAAGAACTGAGACTGGGAGCGCGCAAACAGCGGCTGAGACGACAAAAGAACAGAAAGTGCCTCGAGGATCGCAATACCAGCGATGCATTATATTGAGCTTTAGTTAATTTGTTGTGCCTGTAGGGAATCCCCAAAATCAACCGATTCAGACGGGGTGGTAGGATGTTCAGTGTGAAATTAAGTTCAAGGTTACGCCCTGCGTAAAGTTGTGTTCGGTATTTCGTAGTTGCTGTATGAGTCAGTCTATCTTATCGCGATCATGACTAGAATAATAGCTTATCATGGAAGTGACGAGAGTTATGTATGTTGCAGACCGCGTTGAGTTATATAGTCTGCACGAAATAGAGGGTATAGTACGCGACAGTTTGAAAAATGTATGCATGACTAGGATCTTGGATATCAGTAAATTGGATAGCAGAAGAGTATGTATATCATTGGTAGGAAGATGGGCACTGGGATAAGGTTGCTCTCGATATTTAGAATTGTTCGTCTGAGATCAGGTAGATTACGATCGCGATGGAAGCCGAAATAATTAGGCGTGAGGTGATAAGATACGTATTGAATGGCGACTCGTCTGGAAGCTTGCCTATAGGGGTTGGGTTCGGCTAGGGTGTAGTGGGGAGCATTCATAGTTCGCGACTCGGGAAATTGGGATATTATGGGTGGGGACTGGATATTGGGATATGGGAGGATGAGTTAGGAGATAGCCCGGACAAGAAGGATACGTTAATCTCGAGCGAGCGATTCCTTGCATGACTTGGCATTCTTTTAACCTCGCTGCACGCTTGGCCCTAGCTCGCGAGATTGAAGAAATGTGAATTGGGAAATACACTGTTGAGTGAGAGAGATTATGGATGTGTTGGTTCCTTCTGTGCGTGATCATACGAACATTTGTGCCACGATCATCCCTGAGGATTCTTCACGATGTTGTAGAGTTATGTTGATGTTGCGTTGTTGTTGTCTATTAGCTGAGCATTAAATATATGAACACAGATACAGAGGGAAAATTATTGGCATAAATATTCAGTTGTGATGAAGGATAACAGTGTAGAGATGTGCAAGGATGCCGAGGGTCTAAGAATGTAGACTCAGGTCAGCACCTCTAAAAGAAAACGAGTTCAAACCCTGCCAAGGGCTTGAAGACCAGACGCTGTAGAAATCGCTCAAAATATGGTTCGGAAACTGCGGCAGCCCTGGTTGACAGGGTTATAGTGTGACGGGGGTTCGATTAGCCCGGCCTGGGCCGTCACGCAGGCGAGTGGAGAGAGGTGGAGACAACTTTGTCGGTGGGCCAGTCGGTCGCTGAATCTGGGCGGTGGCAGTTTGCGACGAGAAATGTCATAACTCGCTTCTAAAAAACATCGGAGGACCGGAAAAAAGAGATTGTTGGGGGGGGGGGGGGCAGGCTGGTAGCGCAGTGGAGGTCGAGCTGCTTATTGGTGGCGAAGGCATGACCGAAGTGCGCGAATTTGCGACGGAAATTCATAATGAGTTCAAGAACATCCAGTGACCGCCGAAAAAGTGGAGGGAGAGAGCTCAGCTGAAGTAAGTCGAAGTAACTGGTATCCATAAGGTGGGGAGTCGTGCGGCCAGTGTGGCGTGAGGTGTCACGAATCACGATATAACGTGGTTTCTAAAATGGCCTCCGAACGTAAAAAGGGGAATGGAGGTCGGCGAAGGAGGGATACAAGCCAATTTGCGGAGCATTCGACCAAATGCGGCAGGTTCAGAGACAGAGAAATGTGGAAGATGGAGCGGTCGTAGAGATCAGTGTAAAACCTTGAGAATTTGCATCGCTCTAACCCATGTCTGTTTTATATGTATACGAAAAACCATAACGCGCGCTAGCGACAGCGACCTCGTCGCAGGAGTCGGTTCTGGGATATAATATAAAGGGGTGGCGGGAACATATTTGATGGGGGGTAGAAGTGATAACGACTTTTGATAGATCTGATAAGAGACGCTTACACGCAAATTTCATGGAATTCATATCGCGCGCGCCAGCCAGCAGTGGGACATGCGCAAGAAATGATATAGAGCGTGGAACGAGAATATTCGTTGGGAAAGAAAGGGATAAGGCTGATGAGGACTGATAAAAATGGTATTGCAAGACGGTGAGAGGTTCAACTCGAAATCAGATTTGGAGGTGACGCCTTTCTTCACCGATCATGTGCCTGCGTTGTTCATCCTCGGCCAAAAATACCATTCGGGCCGCTACACTTCCCAGGTCCTGAAAAAATTTGTGAGATTCCAGGATAAATCTTATAGAGGAACGCTTACGGTGGGTACCGGAGTGCGAGGGATTCCATTTTTAAACATCATGGCATCGCAGATTATTCGACGGCTGAATTATTTTAAATTCAAAGCATATAGATGTTTTACAGGCGTCACTTTTAGCACCGTACTCCACGCGCTATCGACGGTGCATCTGACGCATTCGCGAATCCATTTCGATACGACTAGAAACCTGAAGGTCCACGCGACCCCCAAATCGCAAGCCTATGAGATGTCCTGCGCGCGGTTGGGTACGGAGATTAAATTGGAGTATTATATATCTGCTTGGTTATCTGTTTTACAGCCGGCGTTTATATTTCGGTTCTGTTAGGCTGTATAGAAATCTTGGGCACGTTACAGGAGAGCTAAGGCCTTACCCTCCACTGCGGGCAACCGACCTATAAGGATGTAAGCGAGTTGGTTAGGTGCTCCAAGATCCATTTGTCTTCTCTCGGAGCTTTTTTCACAGATTACGAAGTCTCCACATAAAATTAACTGTACTTTATTCCTCGGCAAGCAAAACTAACGCAAACACAAGGGGCGAATGGTAAAGGTAGAAGTACTGAGCATAGAATAGGATAGTAACCCCTCATCGAGTGTGGAGAGTTGTGTCCCTTTTTTGACGTCTAGGTTGTGGACTCCAGAGGAAAAAAAAATGTTGAAAAAAACCAGATGGAACAAAAATTTGCGAAAATCGTCCACAATACGAGAAAACTTTTGGAGACCTCTTCTGCCCTCGAAAATCATCTCAATGAAAGGGATAATGTACAGTATGCAGTTGTGCCTTCCAGCGACTACTTTTAAATTACATAGCAATTGTTTCTGGTAATGCCTGTAGACTTCCTTTACCTTTCAGTGCAACTGATTGAACTCTTTCTCAGGAAAAAATGATACTCCACACCTTTGGTTCGGCTGCAATCGCAGTCATGCACTTGTTGTGCCTTTCAAATGCTGAGCATCCCGATGCTGTCATGCCGTCGGATTCTGACCAAGAGTTAAAGATCAAGCCACTTTTCGAAGCAAAAGTTGTGAACGGCTGGAGTATCTGGCCCCAGGGTGAACGTGCATACAAGGTTAGCGCAAGTCCCTTGTCACTGTCTCTATACCTTTTTGAGCAGATTTTCTCAGATTACAGATCAACATTCAGGTCTTCGTTCAAAAAGCAACATGGGACGAGGCAGAGGAAATATGCCAGCAGAACGACGCGCACTTGGCCTCTATCGGGTCGGAAGAAGAAAACGATTTCATCTACAGTAGGCTTTTGTGATTCGATATGTTAGGAAACTTCACAAACTTTCGAAGCTTGGTGAAATGAAATATGTACGTGTGCAAGACTGGGATAGAATGAAACCTATCTGTGCCTTCATACTTCTACAATGAAACAGAGAAACAGATTAAGAGATTGTAATTACAAAATGAGATTCAAGCCGTGACCTTGCGCATTTGTATGGTTCTGTGCACCCACTCGGCTTTACTCCAGAAAACAACAAGTTTTGATCGAAATTATCACTCTGTTTCAGAATTTCTAAGGGACCGCTAAGAAGGATCCTACAGTGTAAGATGGTGGAAGTTTCCCAAACCTCACTTTGACGGCCGCATCTATACGTGGAAACCCAGTAACTTTAGTTGATCGAAGCCATCTGTCAGCCATTCTTTTTCATATGTTCCTACAAAAGACACAACTCGACAACCGATCTCGTCTGCATCTGCGCTATATTCAGGGAGGCTAACACATCACAACTCACATCCGTAGCCCACAATTGAGATCAGCTTTTCTCCAAGAAGAAAAAATTGTTTGTTTAAAGGGTAATCTTAAAGGGTAAGCCCAAACGAGCGGCATGGGGAGCATTCAGGAACATCGAGGGAGCAGTGAAGAAGTCGAAGAACATCCGGCTACGTGTCCACCTCTTCGATACCGCTGTGCTTCCTGCTCTAACCTACGCCTCACCCAGGGAGGTCTTTCAGGTGGACCCGCGCTTTCTCGAAGCGGTTTTTTGCATGATATAGAGGGATGTTTATGGAGCACAGAACTGTGGTCCATTTCCGCTGAATGGCCCTCTGAATGCCAAAAAAAGGAGTGAAAGTAATTTTGTCGGATACTGCACTTTTTACACACTCAACGTGGTGTGTTTCATTCATGGTGTGTACTGCTTGAATAATGAAGGGACCCGAAAGCTCTGTATCGAAAACAACGCATGTAGAGAAGTTTCATTTGTGCATTCAGCTCCTCCCATATCGGTAACGTCGGTGGTTAGCGGTCAACGATGCGGACTTCAAATAGCACGCTTGGTCGGGGTTGTTGGTTCGGATCCTCGAGGCGGCGAAAATTTTGCATTTTCTGTTGGCACTTCCAGAATGGCTCTAAATTGCACTAATGCCAAAATAGATGTCTTATTCATAATTATGAGCCATTAATAACCACAACGAGGTAAGTTTTCAGCGAAACCACCAAAAAAAAAGACAAACTTGTAACGTCGAAATGGCACTAAAGAGCGGCAGCCCGAAATCAATGCCATATTTGTGACCAGAGCACTGATTTACCCTTATACCCGAAGCTTCGAGCAAAATCGCATCCCTGACCAAACTTCAAAAAGTTGCTCCAAGCATAAGTAACTCTTCACGCATTCCCAGACGCTTGAAGGCGAACTCCACGCGAAGAACTAGCAGGAAACTGCTGCGTTGTGGGTGGCGTCTCCTTCCCCCTCCAACCAATATCAGCCTGGGTGTCTGCTATTGTCTGTACGGTTGGGACATTTCATTTCTTGAGGTATCTATAAGAGGTTATTTCCAAGAAGTTCGTCGTCGAGCTTGACGTGCTACACATATGTACGAGTGCTCATAGAGCAATTTTTCGGAGTTGGGTCAAATCTTGATTTTCTTAGGAATTTCAACCACAAACGCTACCAAGTGTCCTGAATATAAATATGACATTCGTTTTTGGCTCCGACATCGTTTCGGACTCCCATGACGCTGTTCGACGGCACGTTGATGCCGTTTCTACGTCACAACTTTCTCTCACTAGTTTTTGGTATACGCCTACTTATAAGGGTTTTTGATAAGCCTAATCATGAATATTTTCAATTTCTGGTGTTCACGTCATTTGATGCCAAGTTTTTGGCGTTAGATCACAATGCAAAAATTTTGTCACCGCGGGGAATTGAACCAAGGACCATTACTCCACTCCTTTTTGGCATTCAGAGGGCCACTCAGCGGAAACGGACTGCAATTCTGTACTCCACGCACATCACTCTACATCATGCAAAAATTTGTTTTGAGAGAGCGCTGGCTCACCTGGAAGACCTCCCCTCGTCAGAGACTTGACTCTGCGCAGGCAGGACGAGCATGCGGTCGGCGTTATCCAACGCACTGTCGAGAGGACGATGCTAGGAGTAACCCTATACACGCAAGTGCAGAGGAGAATCCGTAGTGCCAAACTACGCCAACGCTCGATGATCAGGGACGCTTCCGTTTCCGCCAAGGAATCGAAGATAAGGTGGGTCGGACACGTCATGCGATTCTGCGATGACCGTTGGACCAGAGCGTTCACCAACTTGATCCCTCGGGACGTCAGACGATTACCTGTACGACCGCTGGCCCAATAGTCAGACTTCTTCACGAAAGCTCTGAACGAAAGGAATGAACGGCTTCGTGTCCCTCGAACAAGGAGGATTCATTGGACTGCTCTAGCACGCGACAGGGACGAATGACGTTGCTGGCTCCCGCTCGAGCAAATCGACAATCAGCGGGACGACAGGTGATACAAGTGGTACAGGGGAGGGAAGAACATCTCACTGTTACGGCACAACATCGTTGGCGACGGGAGAGAGATGTATCGCTTAGGTTCTGTTGCGTCGGGTTTCGCATTGTGGGCCTGTAGAGTGGAGAAATGCCTGACAAACCTGCTTCTCTTCTATTCTTACTTGAACCCGAAGAAGAAGTGGGCGCTATTTGGCTGTGCGGTACAACACGTGAGACCCTCTTATCAGCCCACGTAAACATAATCAAAAATCAGTGAAGTTCTAGCGCGAAATCCATGCGCTCAAACTTCTGTAATAACCTGATGTTCTCGAACAAACCTTCTAAAATAATCCGGAAAAGCGATTCTGAACAGGTAGAGAGAGAGGCGGCTTTGAGTAATGTGCATTCAACGAGATTTGAAGGGTCTGACAATGAGTGGAAAATCTCGTCAATGAGGAGGAGGCGATTAACGGTCGCGTAGCGCACCTATTTCCTCGACGCGAATTACACTGTGGGATTGAGTCTTCCGACGTTGTGTGCCTCATGGACCCTAATAAGCTCGTCCATGTGCTACACGAGTGAATATAGTGGTACTGAAACACAAGTACCACAAATATTTATCACCAGTTTGGCTCCACTCGCTACCGCGCGCATGTCAAAGTAGGTCACAGTGAACAGAGCATAGGCGGATCTTTCATCTAGCAACACGCATGCTTTTAATGTACTGTACTGATGTTATTACTGACCGCTTACTACAGTGCTGGTGATAAAGCCGTAATTTCTCATAGGTCAACACCCATAAACATCCTTCATTTTCCGAGAGGCGAAATGGTCTAGCATCCGATCAAGGTTCGAGTAATCAAGACAATTACTTTGGCTACTCGCTATCAGACCTTAGCGTGAACAACTACCACGTCTCAAATATTGTAATGGTTGAGCGGTTGTACAGCATCTTACCGGTGACATTGGAATAGAATTACCATGTTATCGTATTTCCACAGCCATCAAGCTTAAGGAGCTCGGAAAATTGGTTGTCGTAAGGATGCTGACGACGACATCGCGAATAGAATGGAGTGTTGCCCTTGTCGCGTATCTAGATTACAAATTTAGTGGCTTCCCCGTTTCCGAATTAATCGCTATTATCAGCTCTTATCGGCTCTTATCACCTTTTGTCCCCCATAGAACACGTTCTCGTCCGACCCCTATATCATACCCTAAAATCAAACTGCTGACCGCTGGTGTGCACGCTATGAATTTTGCGGCACTTGCATTCAGAGCCTTTTATCAGAAACCGCCTCAGCTGCTGGGACGCGCGCTATGAGTATTGAAAAATTTGTGTTCTAACTTTTATCAGCTCTTATCATTCGTTGTCATTTCCTGACCCCCAACAAATATGCACCCGTCTCACCACCTATATCGCATCCCAAAATCAGATCCTGACAACAACTGGTGCGCACGGCATAAATATTGCGACACTTGCGTTCTAGCGCCTTTTATCAGCCCTTATCAGTGTCATCACTTTTCGTCCGCAATCAAATGTATTCCCGTCCCACCCTAGACATCACTTGGTGCACTGCTGGTTTGACGTGCGCCGTCAATTTCGCGAAATTTGCGCTCTAACGCCTATGATTAGCCCTTATCAGTCGTTATCACTTCCTGATCATCACCAAATATATACCCTCCATATCTCGGAGTCGGATTATGCGAGGCTAAGGATCTGGCGTAGAAGTTGCTGCACTTGAAGTCGTCGCGTTGTATTCCCAGCCGATTCTGCTGGCTCCACTATTTGACGGGAATTGCAGCAGTATTTTACTATTTTCTGGTACTATTCGACCACGGCAGACATCCTTATAAAGAGGTGAGTCAGTTTCATCAAAAAAGAATGCGGTAGTCTACGAATATTGCACGGTTTTTCTATCAAATGAAAATCATTGTCAGGTCTTCGCTTTTTCTATTTAGTTTCTTTTTGTTTTCCGTTGACCTTTTTTCCGTTCGTCTGGTACTTCATCGCAACTTCTTCTATGTGTTCTGTTGTGCAGGACACTATTTGAAGCTGTTTTGAAGCAACCAGTCGTTTTTCCGCCCCTATTTCCCAGGTCATAGTGCAGCCGCTGCTCTTTTGGTGAGTTTATTTCTATTTTGCATCGACCCTTTTTCTGTTCGACTTGTTCTTCATCACAGCTTCTTCTATGTGTTCTATTTGTTGTGCAGAGCACAATTTGAAGCTGTTCTGAAGCAAACAGTCGTTTTTGCGCATGCTTTTTCCAAGTCATGATGGGTTCCGGCTTCCGCAGTCCTTGCCTAAGGTAATCGCTCTAGTGTTGTGGTGCTTTTGTTGTTCCGTTGTGTTTCGTTGATCAGATTACAATTGTAACGGGAGCGTTTCAAAAATGGCGATTGTGTTTCTAATCTACACGTCTCTATTATGAGCTTCCTTTCGAAGATGTTCTGCTTCTGTGATGTTCTGTTGCACCCGTTTGCGATTGTGGTCGTGCTTTTGTTACTAACTGCTTATTACGTTGACTCCTATCATTCTTACTTGACTATTTACTAACTCTACATTTTTAGTGGTGAATATCGATAAACTATGTTCGGCGATTAATGTTCAGTGGAGATGTGTAAATTGCAATCACGAATGCCATGTACTGCTTGAAGAGAAGGCCACTTATCCCTCAATAACAGTTCAATACATTTAACTTTGACTAAAGCCTCACTTCGACCGTTTCAATATTATCGGAGCAAGTATTTTGTAAGCTTGAGGATCGTTGTTCACAAATTGCTTTTGGCACGCGGTTAAGAAAAATTACTCACAGACCGGTAGCCACTCGCGTAGCCACTCGCTCTTGTTGACGTAAGCAAGGGAAGTGGCACCACGTACACATATGGGGGTTAGTGCACTTGAAACTGTCATAAGCATGGTATCGAACATATTTGAAGAAAAGTTTGCTTTAGAGTTTGACGTTGCGCCACCAGTCAGAGCAGTTTGTTCGACGCGGTAACTGTCTCTGCACAGCATTGCGAGCTATTTCGTTTGAAATGCTAGTGAGTGAGAAGCAGGGAAACTTTGAAGGGCGCCGCGTGTTCGCCCCAGAGGCGAAAGCCGTCATAGCCCATGTGAAGCAGTTCTTCGCAGCAGGCTTAAAGAACATCGCGGGGCCGTGGAACCGTTTTCGATTCAGTCACAGCGATAACTGCCACGGCGTGCGGCGTGAGTGAGCTACTGTCACGAGGGATAGCAAGCCACCCCTCTGTGAGTACGAGAGTGTCTAGCAAGTATTCTCGGAAAGCAGTTGTTATGACCGCCACGAATAACCTTGGCGCAGAATGGGGTGAACGCATAAGGCGACTGGTTCATGTTGAAGGAGTAAAAGAATGTGAGGGTCCTGGAGTTGCGCAGAAAAGGATAGCAGCCTACCCAGATTTCACATTGTCACCAATGACACTGTGGAGGCTACTTAAGGGTCTCGGATTTACTTACTAACATGGGGTACTGCCAAGATTTTACTAACGCGGGTATGGTGTAACACGGGTTTAAACATATTGTGATTCCGTTACTAACCCCATTTTGTCCCGTTGGATGTTTGTTTCGTGAATCCATTTAATTAACACTCACATGTCATCAACATTGATCGCCGAACATAGTTTATCGATAATCAGCCACTAAAAATAGAGTCAGTAAATAGTCAAGTAAGAAAGATAGGAATCAGCATAATAAGCAGTTATTAACAAGAGCACGACCGCAATTACAAACGGGTGCAACAATTGTAATCTGATCAACGAAACAAAACGGAACAACAAAAGCACCACAACACTAAAGCGATTACCTTAGGCAAGGACTGCGGAAGCCGGAACTCATTATGACCTGGAAAAAGCATGGGCAAAAACGACTGGTTGCTTCAAAACAGCTTCGAATTGTGTTCCGCAAAACAATTAGAACACATAGAAGAAGCTGTGTTGAAAACAAGTCGAATAGAAAAATGTCAATGGAGAACAAAAAGAAAATAAATAGAATAAGAAGAAACTGAAAATGGTCGTTTTACTCTCATAGAAAAATCCATGCAATATTCGTGGAATAGAGCATCCATTTTTCTCAAGACTGACTCACCTTTTCGGGACGCGGGATGCCCGCAGTCGTTTAAGAGTATTAGAAAAATACCAGAAGGTAGTAAGATACTGCTGCATTTCTCGGTAAATACCAGCGTCAGCAAATCAGATGGAGATACGGCGCGGCGACTGTCAAGTAGGCTGGCTACACGCCAAGTCCGCAGCCCCGCCTAATCAGACTCCGAGATATGGAGTTACGCGTCCCACCAACTCAGCAAAATCCCGAACTCGGCTCCTGTCGACTGCTGCGACGCGTGCTATGAATTTTGCGACGCACTCGAACAGACAGACATAGCGTTTTATGTACCAGTTTAGCTCCGCACGCCACTGCGCGCGTCATATGTGGGATTCGGTGAGACTGGACAACTCGAGGAATATTATTCATGTTGCTGAAAAACCAATAGTAGATGTTTTGGAAGATGCGTCAGATGAGATCCTTTATTAAAACAGAAAGTTCCTCAATTGGGCGCAGAGTCGATAGAATACACTTTACTTCTTGTTTTGTTTTATTCTATTCAGAATATCTAGTTCAGCTCCATTCAACATTTGTAATTTTGTCCATATTGCTCTATCCAATATTATTTTGATAACACTTCATCTTTGTATTTGGGGTTTGGGGTTTGGGAATCGAAGTTATAGTCTAGTCTCCGTTTCGCACGTGCCCTTAGACGATAGAAGTCGCCCAAGTCTTGATCGGTGGAGGTCTGCGTAGTCCGTGCCCACTCAGGGCTCTGTTAAACCGTAGCGAATAACGGGGTATGTAATCATATCCTGTAAGCGCTCAGGATCAGCCCAAAGTTAAATATGAGAAAGTGGTTTTGATTGAATATGAAATAGAAATATAAAAATAAGTAACTAGACTTCTAAAACGTTAGTGGCGTAAGCTACATACACCCTATCTGCTTGCTCATGACATTGTGTTTTTTGAAAGTTCCATACCAATTAGGGGTTAAGCGTGAAGGAATATAAGCACACTGGTCACATCACAACTGATAACGCAGGAAGGTTCACATGAAGGTTGACCACCCTTCTCGATACCACTCATTTTTAGTTAAGCGAGCAGAAAAATCTTTACTTGCAGACCTAGTCAAAGACATGCCAGGGGACTGGTTTGACGCTATGACATGGATCGGAGGAAAATATGACTGGTTGGTGGATGACTGGTTTTGGGTGGACGGAGCACCGCTCAGCTATACAAACTGGAGTCCGGATGAGCCGAATAACTACTTAGGCAACGAGTATTGCATGGAGGTATCTTGAATAATTTGTTCTATTAGGTTGGAACGATTGAAATGTCGTTTTCGGTCATCAGTTATTTTCATTGTTAAAACAACAACGAGCACACCAAGCAGACCCATCTCCTTCACCTGTGTCACATGCTCATCGCCTCTCATTACGCAAAGTATGGATGCTTGCCGCGTAGAGCGCTATCTGGTTCGACTCGAAGAAGTTGGGAACTCAAAAGTTGACGTCGTCGCAATTATCGAATTGGTCTACTGCTAAGTAGTGTTGCGCTGACCTGGGTCGTGATAGTGGGAAGGCGCCAGACCTGGGCTATACGGAGCGAGAGGCAGAGCGTCCCAGTCCAACTCCTCGATTTCTTGTTGCGAGATTTTCGCGACATGCAGTCTTGCATTATCGTGCCATAATATTTCATTGGCCAAATTTATCACTTGACGAAGCCGAGCTCGGCCCACGTTGTGGAGGTGTTCTATGCAGAGCTCAGGTGTAACTGTACATATATTCTACAATCAGTATTCCTTGGTACACCGTTGCTATACTATATCACCATATATTAGGTTGATGCATAATAATTGCGGCTTCTTTCGCGCGTTCTTTTTTCGAGAAGATTAGCGTTTGTTTCTGTTCTTTTTTTTCGTGAGAATATTCTTCTTTCTTCCACTACCAGAAATGCTTATCGGAAATTGTCCTCATCGTCACCACACATGCTTACGACTTCTATAAATGTTAGAAGGCGGCGGGGCAATTCTACTCATCAAACTTCTCAGCGAGGGAGCAATTAGCAAGACCCAAGAAGAAGGATTGTTCGAGAAGTCTAAAACGCCACATCTACCGAGCGGAGCTCCTACAGACTACCAATTCAATCAGACGTTGAAAAACTGGCAAACGAACAAATTTTGGGATGAGCTGGATGCATTGGTAAGGCAGGGATAGCCGAGTGGTGAAGAGGTTGGACTCAGGTCTGCACCACTGAAAAACCGCGAGTTCGATCACTGCCAAGGTTCTGCAAAAATTGCAAAAATGGTTCTGTACCAGTGTCAGGCCCAGGTTGACAGGCCGGCTGATGAATACCCCAGTCACACCATTCATGTCTAAAAGTTGTCAAAGAATCAGTGATAAAGCTAGGACGTCACCCCGAAGTGGCGCGCAGAACCCCCGCCCGAGCTCTGTGGTCAGTATGCGAGGGCCTTCGAGGTGAGTGAACGGTCTCGGCCAAAGAAGCTAGCTCGAATTGGAGCTGTGAACGTAGGGTCGCTAACTGGAAGGTCCCGAGAGGTTGCTGTAGATGACGCGCAGAAAAATTCAAGTCCTATGCTTTCAGGAGACACGATGGAAAGGGGCCGAGGCCAGGGAAATCGGAGAACGTGTCATACTCTACTACAATGGGAAAGACACCAAGCGGAATTTGTGGCCATTGCGGTAGCGGAGTCGCTCAAGGACTATGTATCCGTTGTGAACAGGATCAGCGATCGGATCATGGCTGTAATGATAGACGCGAAGGAGGGGTACTGGTCGATACTATCAGTGTACGCTCCGCAGCCCGGATGCCCCGAGAGTGAGAAGAACGAGTTCCACCCAAGGCTTGGTGAAGCCATCAGATCGATCCCGGAAAGCAATTACTTGATTATAGCAGGTGATCTGAATGTGCACGTCGGCAGTGAAGTGGTCTTGAAAGGGTGCACGGAGGTAGAGGAATAGGAGTGAAGAACGCCGAGGGAGAGAGGGTTCTGGACAGGGTCAACCCTACGTTGCGCAAAGAACAACGAGGGGGTCGCATTTTGCCGAACGAAAGGGAGGTCGCCATTCAGAGGGATGGGCTGCAAGAGGGCGACGAGGCAGTGTGCGGCAGTGCACTTTCACGCCCTAATGTTCTCCGAAGGCTCTGCACCGTGCAGCTGTCGGAAAGTCGCACAGACGAGAGCTCCATGAGAGCATTAGAGCATGCAGGGTACTATAAGTCTCACTTCATCCATTATTATCATTGATACACGGACGACGTTTTTGCTCGACAGCATTGATCAAGATCACAATAGCCAAAAATTTTGTTAGAACGTAGTGCAAAAACATGGTCTGTCTTCGATGATCGAACATTCAGAAATCCTATGGAGAACAAAGTGTAGAGCAGTTTATGGGGAAGTGAAAAAAGAGTACTATATAACAGTACAACACAATCACGATACTAACACCTTCTTCGGGAAAGTGGAGGACCTTCAAATGCGAAAGCGACTTCCACCCACAGACAGGTGCACGGCGTAAACCCGAGCAGGCGTTTTCCCACAAAAACGCCTTCTCTGTGAGCGGCCGTAAGCAAACTTCCTCAAGAAAATTTTGATGCTTTTAAATCAAATCTAAGCGGAACAAAATGTAGCGAACTTGCTGAATTGAATTTCAAAGTACCCTTATGAAATTGAAGCAGAAGAATGAAGCAGAAGAAGAAGAGAATTCCATGTAAAGCTAAAGCTAGTAATAAAGTACTCTTTGCGTAGATTCTAATGGTCTTTACCGCTTCCCATTTAATGAAGTTTGAAGGAAGTTATGGGTTCTTCAATATTGCAATGTCGCAGTTCAGACGAAAGGCTTGAAAAAAAGTTTATGAAATTCAACGGAACGACGGCACTATTTTTTGAACGAGTGATTTTTCAAAAAAGTTTTGGCCCTTATTCGGAAGCTCTAATCTTCTGGTTTCTAATTATCCTTAGACATTCGCAAAAAGTTGAATACGAAGGAAGTTATAAATGCTTTATTGTCGGAAACTCGCGCTTTCTCAAAAATCGGACCTTAAACCCTTATCGAATGGAACGACCTGACTATTTTTTGAAAGAATGATCGCTAGAAAATTTTCAGGTGATTGTTTGAAAGCGCTAATCTTCTAGTTTCTAAGTAGCCTTAGACATTCGCAAAAAGTTAATTATGAAGAAAGTTATGAATGTTTGAATGTTGAAAACTTGCGTGTGTACAGAAAACGGAACGACGGTACGATCTTTTTAAATATTGAACATCCGCAACATCTCAAATGTTTTTTTGAAAGAAAACTATTTGCATTTTTAAAATTTTGGTGTCCGGTTCCATGAAAACGCCTGTGGACGAAGATATAAGTTTTCAAAGAAGGCGCCCGTAACTATTGGAGATTAAGATTTTCCAGCTTCTACAAGAAACACGGTTGGACGTTGACGGAAATCTTGGCACATACCTGCAATTAGAGACCACTAGGAACATAACGGTACCTAGGTTTATAGAAAATCCTCTCAATTCCTCTGAAAAAACTTTTCATATTTTATTTTGCCTTAAATCCGCGTCCCAAGCGAGTGGAAAACGCGCTCCACCCCACCTCGCGTCGCGGTATGGGCGCGAATTCTTACATTCAAACTTTACTAATCGTTTTCCTGCACACCTCAATAATCTTAAATCGTCCAATGGCGTCTAATATCCCTAGTGTCGCTCGGTGAAGACAGTGCCGTGGTTTCATAGCTATAATCCGTCAACGGATGTTTCCTAAGTGGTTTGGCAGTCAGCTGTCCCATCGAAGATATGTGTTAAAAGCCCGCCTAGGCTTTAGCAGCTCTACGAAATTGCAGAGCTTACTGTTCAAGATTTCCTAGATGGCCTCCCTTCACCAAATGTGTCGTTTCTATACCTCAATCTTTTTGGGGATTGGGTAGACTTCTGGTGACGTGTTCTTCTTTGATATTCTCAAGTAGTTCTTGGCAGTTTTCCTTGCCACCTTTTCCATCCCATTGACCCCATCTAATGTCCCTCATCGGTGCGAAATTCCCACCAGAAACCGGGCCAAATCGCCAATGTTGTGTTTACCAATCGGATTAGTTTTTATATGCTCACAATGATTCGTGGCTACTTTTTGACTTTTTCTTCGATCCCGTTCCATTTTCTTCTCATTTTCTCCTAGTCATCGACGGTGATGGGAGCCATGTGAAGAGAAAACGTCCACGAAATCAGTTTTTGCTATCCAGCATTCTATCATTTGCCGGAGATCGGAATCCTGCTTCATAAATTATATACTTCTTCTACTATCTTCGCACATATGGTTGTGTATTTATTGGACAAAGACGTTGATACACACAGAAATACACTGTAAAACAAAAAACACACATCCTCAATAGAGGGGGGGTCGCACTGGCACCCCTTGAATGGAGGGGGTCGCAAAAAATTTGGAATTTGTGCAACGCAGGGTTGACCCTGGTTCTGGACCTGGCTACACCCACGATTTGGCAATTTGCAGCACGTTCTCCGCGAAAAGGGAGACTCAGAAGGTCACCTACAGCAGTGGAGGGAGACACACGGAAATCAACCATGTTCTGGTAAGAAGATCGTCCCTCAAAACCGTGAAGGTTATCAAGGTACCCTAATTTCCGGTGTATAAGCACGCGCCGACTTCGCGTGCATGCACCTCCGCTCGCGCAGTGTAATTGCGTACCGATGGAGACCACCGTAATCACGCATGATTTTATGGTGCAGTCACACTTCAGATCGCCATCCAACTTCCTGTAATTCGCACCGGTGCTGGTCTCCTGCTGGCTCACAATGGAGTACTGATCGCTCGGTGCTGGCGCAAGGGCAATCAATACTCCACTGTGAGCAGAGGGGGCAGAGCCGCGAACTATAAACGCGCCCCTAGATCACGTGCAGCCACCCAACAACGTGACGTGACGATTAAAGTCTGAATAAAGTTATATAGAATCACGGTTTATGAGGCATACCTTTAAAACCGTCAATCAGGATTGAAGAATACTTGAACAAAAAAAGCAGATCATTGTAAGGATTTACAGCTGATCAGGCACGTTTTTTGAACTGTGAATTGGGATTGAAGAAGACCATACAACAGAATTCTAACTGCGAAGATTTCTACGATTTCCAGTTGGCGCCGTGTTGCGGGCCCAACACGGTTTCATGGCGATATTGAACAGCGAGGCCGAATAATGCAAATTCAGTCTTGACAACCACGAATATTTGACTTGCTCCTTCTCGTTAGCCCTCGTCCGTGTTTTCGGACTCTCTAGATTATCTGCGGGCAGTACTCAATTTCGTGACAGACAGACACACAGACAAACACATAGACAGACAGACAACCGACAGAGAGAAAAAACGAATTACAAAAAGTGAAATTATGGGCCAAAGTGTAACTGCACCATGAACTCAGGCGTGTGATCACGGTAGTCCCCAACGGTACGCAAATACACTGCGCGAGCGGAGGTGCACGTACGGAAAATCAGCGCGGGCTTATACCGCGGAAATTAGGGTAATTCCTGGCGAAGAACTGGCTCCTCACTTCCCAAGAAGAAAAGGGTAAGAACCGAGAGGAGAATTTGGTGGTGGAAGTTGCACCGAGCAGAGAAAATCGACCTCAAACGAAGGATGGAAGTTGGTCTCCATGATTTCCCGATCTCCAGATCCTGAGGGACCAGTGCAGCAGACTTGGGGCAGTGCGGCTGAGATCATCCTATGATGCGCCAAGAAGGTACTGGGAGAGACGCGAGGTGGATGCAGAGGAGACAAGGCAGCGTGGGTTCTGGAATGAGGAGGTCCAGCGAGTTGTGAAGCAGAAAAAAGAGGCATACAAGCGCTGGCAGAAGACCCGTAGCCCCGAAGACCTCGCTACCTACAAAAAATGCAAGAGGCTCGCCAATGCTGCTGTCGCCAAGCAGAGAACACGTAGATGGACGTATTGTACGAGAAGCTGGAAAGCAGAAACGCAGAAAAGTTCGTCTTCAGACTGGCCAAAGCCCGGCATCGGGCTACCCAAGACTTTAGGGTGGTGAAGAGTTTGAAGAGCAGTAACGGTGCCATCTTGAGGAAGCTAACTGAAGTCAGGAGGAGGTGGAAGGAGTACTACAAAGCGCCTCTGAACGAGGAGTTTCCCCACAAAGACAGCTCGCAAGCAGAGGCGACGGCAGGCCCTATCTCACTATGGACAGAGGATGAGGTTCATCAAGAACTAAGGAAGATGAAGGTTGGAAAGTCGGTAGGTCCAGGTAAGGTGCCAATTGAGGCATGGAAGACGCTCGAAGAGTATGGGATCAGATGGCTAACCCAATTTCTAAACACGGTAATCACCGAAGGAAGGATGCCGGATGCCTGAAGAACAATCACTATCGTCTCCATCTTCAAGCAGAAGGGTGACGCGTTGGACTGCTCCAACCACCGCGGGATCAAGTGGATTGCTCATACAATGAAGCTGTACGAGCGACTGGTCGACTCGAAACTGCGGGAGCTGGTCTAGATCCTTCAGGAACAGTTCGGTTTTATGCCTGGAAGATCCACAACGGATGCCATCTTTATCGCCAGGCAAATGATTTAAAGGTATAGAAAAAAGCGCCGACTCCGCTACCTAACCTTGCTCGATCTGGAGAAGGCGCATGACCGTCTACCGCGAGCAGTACTGTGGAGAGCGCTCAGGGAGCGCAATGTGCCAGAACACTTGATGAAGGACATGTACGATGGGGCGAAAGCAGCTATACGCACCCCACACGGCCTAACGGAGGAAGTGGACATCATGGTCGGGGTGCACCAAGGGTCAGATCTGAGCCCGTTTCTCTTCCTTCTTACACTAGATGTCATGGTGAAGGGTCTCATGGAAGGGCTATTAAAGACAATCCTCTACGCTGGCGAATCGCCCTGATAGCGGAAAGCAGAGACGAACTACAAGGCAAGGCGCAGAAATGGCAGGAAGCGCTAGCAGAAGGTGGGCTTTGGCTGAATGTCCGGAAGACCAAGTTACTGAGCTCTAAAGAGGGACTAAAGCCAATCGTATACGGCCATGGAGAGATCTTAGGAAGAGTGGAGGACTTCAGATACCTCGGGAGCGATCTGGCAGCCGACGGAAGTTGGATCAGGCAGTAAATGCACGAATCAACGCAGTGAATGAAGTTGAGGGAGTCCACTGGGATCCTCTGCGATCGAAGGTGCTCCAGAACACTGAAAGGAAAGGTGTACCGGGCAGTGGTGAGGCCTGCGATGCTATACGGCAGCGAGTGCTGGCCCCTGAACAAGAACCACGAAAGGCAGCTTCACTCTGCTGAGATGTGGATGGTGTGGTGGGCCTGCGGCTGGACGCGACTGGACAGGGTCAGAAATGAGGAGGTCAGAGCGGTCATGCAGACTGCCCCTGTCCAGCTGAAGATACGGGATCAGCGTCTGAATGTTATATGGGAAGGAGGCGCCAAGGACCACCCAAGAAGGAAGGCGATGACTTCGAGGCAAGGCAGCGACGCGACGTTGCCCAAAGGAAGGTGTAGACGTAATCAGGAAGGACCTATGTGAAAATCACGGCACACGAAGATGCCTAGACACAGCGAAGTGGACGACGACTGATAAAGACAGCGGACCTGCGACTGCGCGGGACTAACGCTAGGGAGAGAGAAGCTGATTGCATTGGTCCAGTGTTAAGGCGTGGATCGTCTCCGAGACTGTGACTTCTTTGTCCTGGAATCCGAGAAAAAAGCAAATGGGAAACATTTTTGTGGGAGTGTGCTCCGGGGTTATTATCTAAACATGTTTTTGTTGAATAATTTTGTAGTTTTCGCTGAATAAAATCTGTTGGAAAAAGCCGCAATAATTATGCATCAACCCAATAAAAACATGACTTTGTTTCCGTGGATGTCTGGTTTCGAAGTCACCCTCAGCTGTCCATCTTCCGCTAACCAAGGTCATCTTCTCGCGTTGTTATTGGAAAATATCTCTTTGTAAAATGCGGTCAACACTTCTTGACGTCATGGAGCGAAGTTCCAGTAGGCAATCAGTACTGCTTGCTCGCGTCGCTCAAAATATGCCAGACCCATTTATCTTGAAAGTTAACAGTCGCACGTAGAAACTTTTAGATTTTCCTGTTGGCACAACTGAATCTCAATGCAAGTTTTGTGCGGTTTGTCGTAGACTCAGTTCGTTGGCTTCCTTTATTTCTCCGTCATCTAAAGCCAGAGGTCAAAATCCACGATCTTCGTCACCAGATCCTTTACCTCAGTCTTGGAACCATGGCTTAATGCATCAGAGACTAAGTGTTACTGGTCAATGTTTTGCACACAATGAGCGGGTTCGTTGACCGTTTTTCTTTGCTTTAATATATAATCTCTGACAATGATTTCTGATCAGTCATCTCCAAGCAAGATTTTTGGCTCGACGAAATCCGCCAGTGGCGCCTAAGATTTAAAAGTATGCAATATGAATCGCTTCTTTGAATGTATAGTCTCTCATCCTAAGAGATTGTGCTTAAGCTGATAAACAAAGACACAAGCGGAAGCAACATTTCAATCGTTCCAACCTAATATTTGTTTTGCATTAGGTAGACATCCAACAGAAGTCGTACACTGCTTTAAGGTTCCACTGGTGCTCACATTCTTCTAACTTTATTCTTTCTTTTCCTGTCACTAAGTTTTTGCTCTCCAAAGTTTGCAAAATAAGTGACCTAGTAGGAAAGACGGAGTGGTTGAAAGCTCCCTCTACAGAATTCGGAAGTCGCATAGGGAAGCAAGCGCACAATCTCTCAGACAAAACCCTTGAAACAATGATCTACCACCACGTTCGCATTTTTTCAGAAATTTTGCGACCACATCCGTTTTGGGATCACGGTGCGACCCCCACCCCACCACCAACCATCAGTCTTATTTGTAGAAGGTCCCCCAAATACGATCCCTTCCTCCGAATACCACCCCCCTATCGTTACTGTTTATATAGAAGTATTTGATTCTAGGACCAGTCGACGCATCCCAACTCCGCCCCCTTCCCTCTCCAAACGGCCGTCGACGGGGGGGGGGGAGGGTGAAATAAAAATCCACCAATCAATTTTACCTGATTCTCAGCACTTTCGTAAAAATTTCACCAAAAACCCGTCCAATCCAGGCAAACACAATGCATTTCAACCTCCGTTCCCATTATTAGAACCTTGCTTCCCAAAATGCAACCCCTTCTTGGAAAAATCGAGGTTCTATTTCACCCATAACTCACTGGCTTGGAACACATAGTTTACGACCTTTAGGGCATTGTCACAGCTGCATTGTAAAGAATATCGACTCGCAAGGAATTAATCGACGACGCGCGGAAGAAACGCGAGGCAAAACCCGGAGCATCGGGCACAATCCCATCGAATCAGCGACATCCTGCAATTGGTGGATCCTTGTTGTGTTTACACGGGCCTCATAACAATCGAGAACCACTCGAGCGGGCCAACTCATGTGCGCCATAGGACTCTCAACGCTCATTAGAGTGCGTTCTCAACGAAACCATTCGGACAAAAGTTTTCATGCAAGCCCAGCTTATAGAACGATCCAACACCTGCCCATCGAGCTCAGATCTAAAAAGCTGTTCTACCACCTTCCTAAGCCACAAATCGAAAAAATCTTCTGCATGCAATCCTGCACTATCACTACTGAACCACCCTAAACCTCGTAACGGAATTACCGCCCTAAGCCGCCGAAATTCCACAGCAACGAGTGGCTCCTCACGGTATCGTCAACTGACCAAGTCAACCAGTTACAAGGATTGTGCACAGGAGAGAGATCACTACCCCACCCCCGAACCAGAGCCCGCCGCTGATATTCATCCCCGCCCTCTCTGGCATAATCGCCAGCAGTGAAACCACTGTTCCCCGCGTCAACAATACCATGTCCCAAACTAACACTCGCGCGGTGCATAATTCCGTACATAGATTCTATCGGTTGTTGACAACAATCAGCCACCCACTGCTACGAAGCTCCGGTGCGCCCGAAACACTCCCTCTCTCATCCCCACCGATAGGATCTTAACCCCGCATCAGCCCTCCTGTGCCCCCACCACCTGCGACGAGACACATTAGTCCGCTATTTAAAGATGAGCCTGCTCCGTGGTATATCACCCCAACAAAGATTTTCCCTTTCACCCGTCATCACTCCATTTTTCCTGGCCCCCGACCACCACCGTGTTCTCCATCTCACCTATCTTATGGCCACGCACCACCCATACCTCGGGACATATCCCTGCCTGCCCGCCACCTACCCCCAAAGGTCCTCCCATGAATTTTCTCACACTTCGCTTGACCAGCATCATTCATTGCCTCCAAAACAACTCACCAGAATCTGCCGCTAAAACAGCTCAAAACAACAAACCATGCCGATGCCTTTGAAACTAAGTCAGCTCACCCGCAAAAATATGTTATTTATAAGATTGATAGGTGAGTATAATCAGTGTATACTGGAAACGTACTGACACAACAAGCAAGCAAGCAACTCCAAGAAAGCAAGTTGGACTAAAAAGTATCGCAACAAAATGATGTTGAAAAAACTTTATAGAATGCAGAAACTTCAAACTCGAATGCTCTGCATACAACGATTGCATTTCGTAGTCGCACGATGATCATACCACCAACGCTCGACTTAAAGCCTGCCTTGTAACTCTGAAATGTTGTACTAGTATGCACAAATCAATAATAATGACCCAAGGTAATCTATAATATATTCCGAAATAATGTGTCAAGCCTAGTGCGATGAACACTAGAGGCCAGGAAAGTCAGGGAATGTTGCAAAACAACAATAAACGGATTTGGATAACACTTCATGGAAGGAAAAGATACAACATCCAAGCATGCATAGAACTGGATGTTTGCACTCTTAAAGATAATTGTATGTGAAAATCGTAAAGGACCCCTTCGCGAAAAATAACCGTTTTCTGCATGCAATGTCCTTATTCATCAGAGACATAGACATGTTTTCGTGCACAGATTCAATTCTATTCCCAACCGAGACAACTCACAAAAACCAACCTCTATGACCATCGAGTAATGCGAATTAACACAAAGCAGGGTATGATAAGAATGCCGTACTGGCGCTAACGTATCCATGCAGTAAAAGAAAAATTGGGTTAAGCAGGCGTTTTTTTCGTCTTTCCGCCAAGACCCATCGAAGCATCCCCGAGTCGTCAGAATTGAGTTTGCTGTCTGAAGAGAACTTCGAACAGTGTTAGGCAGCCCTTGCACAGTTCTTTATCCAGTTTTTTTGTTTTTCGCTCTT